GGAAGTGATTGATGAAATGCTCTTCAACACCCCATATACACCAATAGCACCTGCCAACTAGGACCCAGGAAGTTTAAAATTCTTCCTTTTTTATTGACTTTTTACAGATTCAGCATCATAGTTTTCAGTACATTCACACAACCAATTAATCTCTGCATTGCAGAACTGCTCATGTTATTCAGCAGCATAGAAGTATAACTGAAAGTTATGGATTTACTTGGACGAAGATTTGCAATAAAAAGTCTTGCTGCACTAAATTTCAACACAAATACATTTAACAAAATTAGAAATGATTATAGTGATATTACAATCCTGTATGTACCTACTCAGAAGTTAACCCAATCAATGTAATGGAGTTTTTGCCCAAATAAATAGATAAAGGATGACAGCCTAAAAAAGGTAACAGAAAAAAGAATATGATGTTACAGGTCAGTATTTAAACAGCAAGGCAGAGGGTTTTGTTTTGTTTTAATCCTCCACTCTCTAAATCATCCTTTTCTGGTCTTGTCCTTTAATACTCTTTATAAAAAGTCTTCTGGTTGTTGAAAAGGAACTGTAAGCAATTGTACATTACCAAGATTCTAGATTCCCTTAGGAACATCAAAATTGAATATTCATACCGTGAAGCAAAATAGAACAAAACATTACTTCCAACACCAATAAAAACATTTAGTATGAGAACAGCTGAACAGAGGGGGGCTGACCAGAAAACAAACATCTAGTCCTCTGCCTCTTCTACAAGTACCTGCCAACAGGGTAGCCTTTCTGCTTTTTTTATTTTTCTTATCTTTAGCGATGTTTTCCTGTTTTGTTGGATTTACTTGACTGTGGCAGCATGCTGTTGAATGTTTGCAACTGGAGAAAATGCTGTGGCTGGACTGGGCAGGACCCTTACTATGCTTGGACCAGCTCAAGAACAGGCCCTTAAAGAATATCCCTTGCTGTGGGTAGTGGGATCAACCCTGAAAGAGTGACTTCCAAGCAGGTTGCCCCTTTGTAGTTTCTATAGGGGGAATGTAATGGCAAGGGCCAGTCTCCTAACCTCTTGATCAATTTGGCAGCTTAAAGTACTTGATTTTCCCTTCACAGGGTCCAAGAACGTGCTCTATGAGTGCCTGAATATGTGCCTTGAAGGAAGGACATGGAACCAAATGGAGGTCTCTAAGTAGTGACAGGCAGAGCAGGGGGCACTGGGAGGAGGGCTAGCCAAGTAAGGAGAACATGACCCAGGAAGCTGTCTTTATGGGCCTTTGGTGGTTGCTGTATCAGGCTGTCTTTGGGTTTCCTGATGCTACTTTTAAATGTCAGAGTGGTATAGAACAAGACTTCCTTCACTGATGACTTAACAGTGGATGAGGCAGCCAATCTGGCTTGCCTGAAGAAGAACTGGATAACTGAACAAGGAAGAGTTAGTTACTCCCAGTTGTGCCCAAGGTACATTGATTAGGTGATGGTGTGCTATAGCCAAATAAAATTTTCCAGGCTCCCCGTTCACCTGTCTAATGATATGGAGTGCTTGCCTCTTGTGTTGGCTCAGTGGGACAGACTGGGAATTCTGCTGGTGTATTACCAATCCCTCTACCCAGCAGTCTCCCTACTGGAGCTGACAGAGGTTGTTTTGGTTGCAATGCTGTGGTCTCATAGGCTGTTAGTTTTGGGGGGTATAAATTTGCAATTTGCAAGCTGGAATTAAGATTGCAGGGAGAAATATCAACAACCCCAGATATGCCAATGATACCACTCTAATGGCAGAAACTGAAGAGGAAATAAAGAGCCTCTTGATGAGGGTGAAAGAGGAGAGTGCAAAACTTGGCTTGAAACTCAACATTAAGAAAACTAAAATCATGGCATCCGGTCCTCTCACTTCCTGGCAAATAGATGGGGAAGAAATTAAGGTAGCAACAGTTTTTATTTTCTTGGGCTTCAAGATCATCGGAGGCGGTGACTACAGCCAAGAAATTAAAAGATGTTTGCTCATTGGGAGGAAACGTATGACAAATCTAGACACCATTCTAAAAAACAGAGACATCACCCTGCCAACAAAAGTTTGTATAGTCAAAGCTATGGTTTTCCCACTTGTAATGTATGCCTGTGAGAGTTGGACCATAAGGAAGACTAGCACTGAAGAATTGATGCTTTTGAATTGTGGTGTTGGAGAAGACTCCTGAGAGTCCCTTGTACTGCAGAGAGATCAGATCAGTCAATCCTAAAGGAATCAACCCTGACTGCTCTTTAGAAGGACAGATACTGAAGCTGAAGCTCAAATAATCTGGCCAACTAATGAGAAGGGAGAATTCATTGGAAAAGACCCTGATGCTGGGAACGATTGAAGGCAAAAGGAGAAGGGGACAGCAGAGGCTGAGGTGGTTGGATGGGGTCACTAGAGTGGTAGGGGTGGGCTTGGGTGTACTCTGGGGGATGGTGGAGGACAGAAGAACATGGAGGAATGTACAACTTTGCAACAGAACAACAACATCCATACTCAAGGCAGATTGTCATGGCCTCCATGGGACTATCCCAGCATGCCATCACCACCAACACATGGAGCAGGGCACATTCTAGGCCAATTTCTCAGCCAGGTAGGGAGATGGTGATTTGGTGATGGTGATTTGAAGTTGTGGAATATTAACTCAGTACATTTATCATGGGTAGATCATCACTTCTTGGTGTTTAGACTGAACATATCCTTTCCCCTCTGCAAGTGTAGGAGAACTATTAAAATGATCTGCCCTCAGACCCTGTTAGAATGGTTGGAAGAAGAGTGGTGTTTACTGCTATTCTTTTTGTGCTGCTGCTGCTGCTGCTGCTGCTCCTTAAAGCTATTTCCTTCTTATTGCAAATGAATTTAGACCTACATCAAGTGTGGTGTAAATTTTCTATCTGGTTAGGAGCATGGTTAAGTGTTGGAATAATTTTGGGTCCTGCAATTCCAGAGTATCCCTCGTTCTGTCCACAATACCTATCCTCTTCTCCCTCATGGACCTTGCTAAGAAAAGAAATATTACTTACTGGCCTAAAGTTGTTAAGATTTTCTAGTTCCAGAAAGATTTTTTTGGAGGGGGAGTCTCACTGTCACTTCTTTAAGATAGCATGAGACCACCCCGTCTCTCAAGGAGGCATTTATCTCCTCCCTGTCCTAGTTGGCTGTTCCTTCCCTACTAGTTTTTATAAGCCAAGAGTGGCAAGGATCCAGTATGGAAGTGGTTGCATGAATCTTTTCCAAGCATCTTGTCAATGTCCTTGAGTTGCACCTACTGAAACTCACCCAAGAAAACTGGACCAGGCTGTCCTCTCAGTTTCTCATCAGATTTACTTTCTATAACACTGGAGTCTGAGTCCTGGCAGATGCAAGAGATATTATCCTAGAAATTGTCTAGCAAATATGTTACAGCATGCTTCAGACAGGTCTACAGTGTCCTTAGGGCTAGCTTATAATAGGCCCCAGACAACCCTAAAAAGTTCTGCTGGGCAGCAGATAGAAAGCTAAATGGAGAGAGGGAGATGTTGTTTAATTGCTATTCTCAGTGCATCTACGCGTAAAAACACCTGATTATAGGCAGATACAGCACTAGAGTTTGATTTTATCCACTAGATTTTTTTCTCCATCAACATTCAAGCAATATCCTATTTATTTTCATCACTCTAAGCTCTTGGGTATAACACAAAACCATACAAGACCTACAACACAGAGGGCAATACAATTGAAAGTAATAGTGTTAAACAACCAGGTCATAACTGCATTCCTCACATCAACCAGGGCTTTGATACACACGCCAGTCATATCAGCTAGAACTCTTTAAATCTATTAGCCTCTGAACAAAGACCACCTTCATAGATCCCCCCAGCCTAACAGGGGGAAAGTTGCAATCAGTTTAAACAGCAACAGTTTATGATCTGACCATGACATCTTCAGATTATCATCCCCTTTCCTGTCTGAAAAGGCAGGTCTCTAATGCCAGAAAGTTGAGGAGTATGGATCTTTCTAGTGGAAGGAGGGGCAGGAAGGGGGAAATCAGAGATAGTTTAAAGTTAAACAACCCAGAGTTTTAATCCAGGGTTTGCTTCTTTATTTAAAACTCTGGGTTGTTTAAGGTTAAACTACCAAATTTGCATGTCAGAACATCAAGAAATGCAGAGTTCCTGGGTTGTCCTGGAAGACTGATTCAAAGTGGAAGTGTGGATTGCACAGGAGGCAGCATGTTTGCTCACTCTGCATAATTGCACCTGTTCATGAGTTGCTTAACCCAAGAAATGTCCATCACATGTGAATCAAGTTGCATTGTATTACCACAAATAATCCCATAGCACGTAATAGACTAACAAATATACCGTATATACCAGCATTTAAGACAACATTTGAAACCAAAAATTGGAGGTGGGGTCATCTCATAAACCTGGTGAAAAAAAAAATCCCTACCATAGTTTGTCTTTGGATGTCAGGTCGCAAGACTCGCTTTCAGCCACACTCCCAGTCCCGAGTCCAGTGCTTGCCTGGCCTGCACACCTACCTTCACCAGGGCACAGTGCACCATTGTTTGCTGGCCACCAAGAAAAGGAGTCTTCATCACTTCAGGAGAGCTCCTCCTGCATTGCATTGTGAGCCTCAAGCATGGCTGCACTTCCAGGCCTGAGTCTGGTGTCCATCTGCTCTCACTGCTGCATACCAAAGTTTTCTGAGGTATTGCATTAAAAATAGTAACTTTTAAAATCTGCTGCCCAATTAATTGGGAAAACTGTTTTAGTTGAAAGCTTTTTTGAGGGCTTATCCTATATACAGGTGTATAAGATGCCCCATGAAAAGTTGGGGGTCATCTTACATGACCAACAAACAATAAACACCAGAAAAACAGCCCAAAATATCAATCTCATCTTATACATGAGTTGTCTTAAATGCCAGTAGATCCAGTACTCATCCATGACTTCTTAAAGGCCAGAACCTAGTTCAACTGGTGCATGAAGTATTCTCAGTTGGCATGTGCACGTGATGTGTGTATATAATGTGTGTGCTCACAGAGAGAGAGAAACACACACATACAAGGACAGCATTTTTTAATTGATTAATCAGTTATATCAAATTTTAATTTACTGGAAAAAATCTCCAAATTAAATTAGGCAGTTTGTTTAAAATGGTGGCATACAGATATAGCTCTGCAGACTGACATTTTTACTCAGCCAGTGACTTCTACTATCCAGGTCTAAACTGAAGTGAAAATTAAAGCTGTGGCACAGAGTAGGAAAGGCAGAGAGATTTAAGTTTGACTCCATTCTGTCCCTGACATACTTCATTGTGATAAAAGTAGACACTGGGAGCTGTCCTATACTGAATTGGTCCATCCTCTATTAGCAGCTCTCTAGGATTTCAGGCAGGATTCCTTTTTAGTTCTGCCTAGAGATGCTGGGGAGAAAACATAGGATCTTATACATGCAAAGTATAGGAATTACTACTGTGCTATAAACCCTGTTTTATAACCAAACTGGCAAGTATGGTGTGCAGCTACAGATAATAAAAATTAGGACATGCACCATGTATCACAAAAAAGACAAATAAAGAAATTGATTTGTATCAAATCTGCATTTGTTAACTTATACTAGAAATAATTACTAACATTTAAATACAAGTACCATACATCTTACCATGTAGGAAAGATGGTGAGGTAACCTGTGTGTTTGCTCAGTCTGCTATCCTGGTGCTGACTGCAGGTAGACAGCTTCAAGCCCCCTTCTTTTTCTTCTTATAGTCCTTTATCTTTCAGCTAAACATGGAGTGAACAGGCCTTCAAACATAGGATGCATTCAAACTGAAGATTGTTCTCTCTAAAATAGGATATATGGCCACCCTAAAAATACCACCTCCACTCATTTTCTGACCCTTCAGGAATGCACACCTCTGATTATTGAGAAAATATAGAAGCAAACACAATTATATCAAAATATACTGGTTTTGCAATAGATGTTTGTTCTTTACAATTTAATGTTGCAAGAAGAGCTGGCCTTTGAACTTTGGTAACAATTCTCCAGAACCTTGTTAAAATATCTTTCCTTCTGGCATAAAAACCAGGTACTCCTGGGAAAAGCCAGCTTTCAGGAGGTGCTGTATGTTCTACCCAGATCCCTTAAGGTCATCAGATTGCAATATTTCATCCCAGATGTATCAGTACTAAAAAAGAAATCTGACAAAAAAAAAGGAAGTGCAACATTTGTAGGGAATTATGATACAACTTGGACTTCAGCAAACTTCTCAGTTAGGGATCGGTGGATAAACACAGAATATCTCATTTGTTTGGAACTCACACAGAGAGCAAAGGTTGAACATTTCAAAGCCAATCATGCTATAAGTTCAAGACTTCATCCAAAAGAGATTAACTATGGAGAAAAGGAGAAAAAGGAGCCAACATCACTAAATTAAACAAATTATCTGTGATGATAGTGTTATATAGCCTGGCTGTTTCATGCTTGGAACTCGGACAACTTTGCTTGGCATCAGCTGAGATTTCTGTGGCAAGATCATCAGCTCTTAAGGAATCATCAAAGAAAAATCTAGTTCTGAAACTGATTAAAATAGCCAAACAATATGACTTCCAAGTTCCCATTCCAAGGATAAATTATCAATCAAACCTCAAAAGAAGGTACATTTGAAGGCATTGGTTGGTGTATTGTAAATAAAAGTATGCAAAGGGACCGCGTTTTGTTTATTTTGTCCCTGTAGGAGGAAACTCTTGTTTCCACTTTAAAATGTTGTTTGGTTTGTCTAAAGAATGACCAATGAATTCAGGAAGGAACAGCATAGTTAGTTTGCAGTTTGGTTTTGCAAGGTACTTCTAAGGTTTGGGGCCAGGCTGCACAAAACTGCATAACCATGCATATGCTAATACCTATGTATGCCAATTTAGTAATAATTACTAGGATCTATTTAATTCTCACAGAAGGCAAAGCCAATTAATTGTCCATTCAACCCCCACTTTTCAAATAACCTCTAATAAAATAGATATTTCAATTAATTCAGACTACAGATCATCCCAAATCAGTAGTTCCTCTCTCTTTCTGTCCCTTCTCTCTGCCACTTCTCTTTTTTCCTTCATGGAAGAAAATTGCCTCCATTCATGCAAAAAAGGTTTGGAATCAAAACTTTCTTTAACATACATAGTTTTCTCCCCTAAGTTTAATTGTCATGTGGGTGAGAGATTTTTGGATGGGTAGTCCTCGCATTTGTGGAGGGAAGCTAAGCCCTTAGGAAATATCTTCCACTGGCAGCAATAGAGAGTCAGGATTCTGAGAAATAGATACAGGGTCGGGGGGCCTTGAGCCCTAGCCTAGCAACACCTATGTTTGAATTATGAGAATAAGACCCTCTGCCACCTAGTTCCCCCAGCAGCAATGCTTGGAGGATTAATCTTTCTTTTTAATTTGAGGAAAGGAAACTTCATAGGCAGAGCTCATTCAAGTCTTTTTGAAATACAAATTACTCATAAATCATGCGCATCACTTCCTTATCTTTGAGGGACAGCATTATCCATATTAAATATTCTAGAACTAAAATACCCGAGGATTCATGCATGCATGGCAGTTGGCTCCCAGATGTGGCTCCTGGCACTATGTTCCTTAGTCTAATTAACCCATTTTATTCTTAAGACAATGTTCAGAATCCACATATGCTTTTCTCTTACACATACGGAGCACATCCACTAATGCACTGCAGATGGGATACATTCCATGGACTGGAAAGCCAGCTGTTGCAAGGAGCCGCTGCCCAAGAAGGGACTTTTCTCCACATTCAGAGGTGAGCTGATGAATTAAAGCTCATCGATCAAGGGCTGTGCTGATCCCACCCAGTCACTAATGATGATGGTGAAAGGAGGTGCTCAGGGCATATTAATCTTGAAGTTTCTGTCTCGCTTTGATTCCAGTATGGCTCACCCTTTCATTATTGAATGACAGTGAAATGTTCTGCCTTTCATTGTTGAAAGACTGCAAGCCTTTGTTTTCTGACAGTTTGTTTGCTCTTCTACATGACTCTTCCCCCCCACCCCAAACTCTATGGTTGGGCAATACCATTTCCAGGACCAACCAAAATGTCATGAAATAGTTTGCAGGTGTTCAGGTTCTTCAGAACCCTTCATCAAACTGCATTCATATAGATGCCAGGCCTTCCTCAATGAACCAATGCTGGAGTTTGCTTCCCTGTCATCTTCTTGGAAGAATCATGCCTGTAACTGTACCAAAAAAAACCCATGATTAGATAAATTCACACTGAAATTTCACTAGCGGAGCAGGAACATAATCCCCACACAACCCAATCTGCTTTAGCCCAGGTGGAAAATAAGCTCACTTCAGTATTTTTATGCCATTTGTACCATAAGGAATAGATTAGAACTCCCCAACCTTTTTGGACTCATGGGCACACCTGGGAATTTTGAGAAACTGCTGTGGGTATACAAGCTTTTTGACAATTATTCACTTACAGCATAGAAGTTAACAAATGTAAGGGGAAATTGATTCTCTGAATACTTTAAATAGCTAAAATGTTACCCAAAAATTACAAAATTGGAGAGAGAAACACCTCCTACAAGGCAACGAGTGTTGAAGACTTTACAATGCTTTCAATGTATGATCATGTAGCATATTGATTTCACTTTCAAATGGGTTATATTTGGATAATCATACTTGCTGAAGACTAGAAAGTTGTATGCATTTCATACAAACCCCTTTTTTTTTTAAATGGGGAAAATAAAATATTCTAGGTGGCCACAGGCCCCATTTTAGAGACCTCTTGGTGGATACCACTGGAGCTGTCTATGGACACTATGGCGCCTGAAAGTGCCATGTTGGGGACTCCTGTGGAATTGAATAGAGTGACAGTATTTTGACGATAGATAGATAGATAGATAGATAGATATAGTAGTAATTTGGCAGTACAAGCACAATTTGATTTTTTGAGCATTTTAAAACAAAGGAATTAATATGTTTAATTCCACCTCATTCTATCTCCCAAGGAACCCAAAGCAGCTCACATAGACCTCCTCCTCTACATTTTATCCTCATAGCAACCCTGTGAGGGAGATCAAGCTGAGAGTCAGAGATTGGCCCAAAGTCAACCAGGTAGCTTCATGGTTGAGTGGAGACTAGAACCTGGAGTGCTAAGTCTCAGTTTGGAGTGCAAACACTCTAACCACTACACAACACTGCCTGTTTGGAAGCATTGGAAATATTGTTTCTAACATATTTGGGAAAAGATGAGAGTTGCCTAAAAAGGAGGGTTATTTCCAAAATTCTTTGGGCATAATAAAAAGGTTCAAGGAAAGATTCCTGTGGTGGAGGAAAGGATGTGCTCCAATGGGGCAAAACCCAAAGAATTGGGTTTCAGGTTGGATGTCAGGAAGTACTTCCTGATGGCTAGGACTCCTAGGATATGGAATGGGCTTCCACATAAGGTGGTGGGGGCTCCATCAGTAAGGATGTTCAAGGAAAGATTGGACAACAGCAAGTTGGGTATTACATGAGTGGAGCCAGCTGGAGCCATGGGTCAGACTGGATGGCCCAAAAGACCCCTTTTAACTTGCTTTGTTTCAATGTTTCTAATGTAGTGGGGCTAATTCAGTAGCACTCTCAAATGCTCAATTCAAACATTCTCTGAAGGGAAGGATAATTCTGCAAGGAGCTACTTTTGATGCTGATGGCTTTGTCAGGATACAAGATTTTACCAAGCCCCATACCATTCAGCATTCCTGAAGCCATTTTCTACTTTAAAAAGGCTTAATTCTAAATTAAAATGATGAATGAACAGATAAGTATACATGCAGCCTTAAAACACTGTTGTATTTTAAGGAAGACAGATCACCTGAAGCACAGCAGGAGCAGCAAAACTGAAAACTTGATCCAGCATGCAAATCACTGGCAGTTGCAAAACCAGTTGGAAGTCAGGCTTACCCAAAGGCTAAAGAATCTGTTATTTCTCATTATGTTAACACTACATTATGTTACATGTTCACCCACATATTCTAGTAATGTCACCACTGATTGCTATTTCAGAAGTTGTCAAATTGCACATTCAGTGTTGTTGTTGTTGTTGTTGTTGTTATTACATTTCTATGCCGCCCCTTGCCGAAACCGGGGGGCGGCTTGTTCAGAAGGGCATGAAAGCAATGGCCTTTCTTCATTGTTTTTCTAGTATTCAGAAATATAATGCCACAGCCTGTGGAGGCTCTATTAACCCTAGATGAAATCTTTTTTCCACAGAACAAAGGTGTAAGCAAGCAAAGGATGCTGATGAAATATTACTTCTGTACCACATCTGTACTGCCACTCATTTTGATTTTCATGCTTATAGAGTGACACTGGTATCACAGTTAAGCAAGCATAACATTTTGATGATATGGCTTGATAATGCTATTTTCTTTGGGATCTGTCAGCACAAAGTCAGCATCCTGCCCTCATCCAACCAGGGTAAATGATGTATAAGAGTGTGTGGTTGGCTTTGTGTATCGGTCAAACATTTTTAAGCTACCTAGGTGAATGATTGTCACATGCTGGGGTGGGTAATCTCTCAAATAAGTATGCATTGTGTAAATAACTGCTTGCCAGCCAATTCTCTTTGATGAATCCTGATGATATAAGAAAATGTGAACATATTATGTCTCTCAATCAGCTGTACACCATTCATAATTTTAGACACTTCTTTCACGTACTTCCTTACAGTCTTTTCTTTGGGGAGGGAGGGCAAAATTCCTCAAATACACATACTCTTCCAAAGAAAAAATTTTCAAGCTGGAATTGCTTGAAAAATACCTTTTCTAGCCTACTGCAATATCCTTTTGCAGTTGGGTGTCCAGACAGGTACACAGTATTCTATATGTACCATAGGTGCACCACAGGTTCTGGAGAATCCTGCACACAAAACTGCAGCAAGCTACAAGACAGAGAAAGCTAAAGAATAGAGAGAGGTCTTGGAAGTGGATATCTTCTAAGACAAGAGAAAGAGTTTTCAGAGTCTAGAAGGCAGCAAAGATTCCTCCATTCTTCAGGCTTGATTATCATAGGCATGGCTTGAAGCATTTGCAATTATTTGAATCCCTCCTGCTGAAATAAAGACACACAGGAGCCTCAAGGCAGAATTCAAGGGATATTTCCAGTGACACTCATTGGCTCTCAGGTCACCTCCACTAGCTCTGTGAGATCCAATACAAATCCTCAGAGGCAAACCCAGCTTGGAAATGACCCAGCCAGAACACCAGACATGTGTCAGTGATGGTCTGCTGTCAAAACAATGAGTGTGAAAAGCTGTCCAGCAACTCCCAGTTTACAAGTTGGTGTTTGTTTACGTACATATTTCTTCTGCTTTCACTTAAGCAGGGCACCTCTGAGACACAGGGAGGGACAAAGGCAAAGGCCAGTTTTGTGGGTGTCTTAAGAGTTAGATGTTTTGGGAATAGTGTTCTCTAAACATACAGATTCATATTAGCAATGGTCTGGACCACACACTGTGGAAGCTGGTGCACAACTCTATATGTAAACATGTGAATACAAACGAGAGAGGAAACTGATGGGGAAGAGACTTTAAAAGTGGAAAAGCTTTCTGCAGTGGTATTTGTGAGTGAGACAGCACAAGTTGTAAAGTGATATGACTCGAATGAGCATCCAACTGCAGTTTTGAACAGCCGTTTCAAGTCATTCTTTGCTCAATAATCACAATAATCATGTGCCCTCTTAGCAATACTATCCATGTGCCAAGTTACAAATTTGCAAGTATGTACAAAGGAATTTTGTGGTTGTCCCACAATTCCTCATATGGATCCACCAAACTGTAGGCATCCACAAGCATTTTTCTGAAATGATTCTCACTTCCCTTTTTGTGTTGACATATTGATGTATGAAATATATGTGTACCTTGTCAGTTGGGATAAAAATGAAGAGTAAGATGCATGTAAAGTTTTGCATGTGTCTATTTAAAATAGTTGGCACCAGGAAATCAACCATTTCCTGTTCATTCTTTCCAAGAACTTTAAAGTTCCAGTTTGTACATTCAACCATCCTTTAGATTCAATAAATAATGTGTATATTTTTTATTCAGGTAACTGTACCCAGTGACAGGATAGAAAGTGAGGACCAAACCTTAGGGACTGACTTGACACCATTTCATGTTTGGTTTGATGTACTACCAGTTGGACTAGGATAATGCTTTTTGAAAAAAGCTGTTTTATTATTCAGCTAATTTATGTCATTTGAAAGTCATGAGGGCCCCATTTATATGGTCTTGTATTATTTCAATAGTAAAGCAGACAACTAACATTTCTCTTCCCTCCCCATGTCACCATTCCATGTTTTCAAAATGTTGTTTTGAAACAACAATAACCCTGTTTGCTAACCATGATCTTAAAAAATTCTTTGAGCATTTGTAATTTTAACACCCTTTAATTGTAGCACTAACATGACTACAGCAATAAGATGGAATTGGTTTCTTATATCCTCATCACTTGCCATTTTCTGGGTGGTAATTTTGGGGACCTCTGGACTTGGCCGCAAGGTTTAATCCTAGCTGTGCTATTGACTGCAACTGTCATCATCCCTTACCACTGGCTATGCTGGCTAAGGCTGATGGGAGTTGAAGTCCAACAATTCTGGAGGGCTGTAAGTCAACCACCCCTGCCTTGGTGCACTTTATGGATAGCTAATCTGCAGCATGCATACCATATTTCCCCCAAAATAAGACCATGTGTTATATTAATTTTTGCTCCAAAAGACACACTAGGGGTTATTTTCAGATGATGTCTTACTTTATCATGTACAGCAATCTACATTTATTCATGTACAAAAATATACATTTATTCAAATACAGTCATGTCATCTTCTTCTGGAACATCATCATAACTCTCCAAACCCCAAATTGTGTTGCAATGGACATACTAAATGCGTCCGTCTGGCTGACGATCTTAACTGGGGCTTATTTTTGGGGTAGGACTTATATTATGAACATCCTGAAAAATCATGCTAGAGCTTATTTTCCAATTAGGTCTTACTTTTGGGGAAGCAGGGTAGGATCTGCAAGTGGCAAATACAGCAGTGGACCAAGACAGCAGGAACTGGCCCAGCAGTCCTCAAAGATGGCAGAGCAGCAGACCTATGTTGCTGACTGTCACAGCTATACTGTGCTGCTGCCTGTTCCCCAGCTCTGGAGGCCAGGCTTTGGAGAGCGAGAGTGGACCTGTAGTATGCAGAC